GGATATATCGTATCGTGACCCCTCTGTCATGATATGTATCGTATCGCCAAATTCTTGTCAATACACAGCCCTAGTTGTTTGGATGAGAAAATAGCAGCAAAATAACAATAAATAAGTAAATCTTAAGTAAAAGTGAGAATATTTTAGAATACTCAAAATGAGTTATTTAAATGGCAAACATTCACTCTTGAATGGGTCCAGTTCTGAGTTAGCTCGACTCCTCTTGAGAATTTCTGTCTGGGACTGCTCTGACTGCTGCAGGTAAGATACTGATTACTCATATTTACTTCACACATCCCTCAATGAAAATCCCACTGTCTAAGATGGAAAGATCTAGGCAATGACAAAACTTAAGAAGGCTTTAACTGTTGTAGAAACCAGAGTTTAAAATATAAACTGTATCACTGAGGTCATTATTGTCTGACTGCAAAGGTGAAATTGGGCTGATAAAGTTTTTAACTTGTCTGTTTGCCTGTATAGTTGGCAAAATACAGTGTTGTATAAAGTACCTCAAAGTGATACTTGAGTAAAAGTACAAGTATCTTATCATAAAAATACTTTGGTAAAAGTTAAAGTCTTCTCTAAAAATATCACTTGAGTAAAAGTCTTAAAGTATCTGATATTTTTTGTACTTAAGTATCAAAAGTAAATTTCTGACACAAAATCTACTTATTAAAAGTAAAAGTACTGAGTAAAAGAGAGCCCTTAGATTTTCCAAAATGACATTTATTGGGAGGTGAGTTCTCCAAAACATTTTTTTTCTAATGGTGTACAGCTGTGATGGGATGTGTACAAGCTAATAGGGTGTCAGAATGGTATATATTTATACTTCTCCAACCACAATTAAATTCACTCTATCCAAGAGACACAATTTATCAGGATAGTATTTTTTTAAGTAATAACTTTGAATAAAATAGGAGTAACGACTTTCTACTTCTTACCTTTAAAAAAATGTAGTGAGTGGAAAGTACAGATAATTGTGTAAAAATGTAATGAGTAAAAGTAAAAAGTACGCTGAAAAATAATTACTCAAGTAAAGTACAGATACCCAAAAATTCTACTTAAGTACAGTAACAAAGTATTTGTACTTAGTTACATTACAACTCTGGCAAAAATATCTCGTTTTCATGGAAACCAATCATTGGACTAACATCTACAACTGATTAACTTTTACAGGAAGACACCCTGCCCAAGCTAAGCAACCTTAGCCCACACAACAAGGGCTACGTCAGTGAGTTTCACAGATACTGTGCAAGAATTTGGTGTTGTAGTCGCTGATAGTATTTACAACAAAAGCCATTGGGCCTCATGCAAGAACATGTTCATATTCTTATCCTAAATTTCTCTTACTTTTGTTCGTACAAAGGGTTCGTACGAACATGTCACGTCAGATTCAACAAACTCTTCTATCTTCAGGAAAAGTGTGTAAATGAGCTGCGTAAATTACACCTGTCGTATCCAGCTGCTCGTGCACGCGAGAGGAGATTAGCATAATTACCACCCCAAAAACACCATTTAAGGCTGTGTTTCCTGCCTCAGATACAAGGAAGTGTTCATTCATGAAAATGAAAGCGAAAATTAAAAAGATAAACTTTACGAGTTCAGAGATTGAAGTCCGTCTGTCAGAGATCCAGAAAAGAAAATCTGTCATTTTTAGCAGGTCAGCTGTGGAATAAAAAGAGCTGCTAAAAATTTAAACAACTGTGTTAAATCATTTTCATTTATTCAGAAGACACAGCGCTGCGCACTGACTGCTCGTAAAATATACGACAGGTCTGGACCACACGTGAATTTTGTTCGTATCTGAAAAAAATCTTAGAATACGAAAACATTGGTGAATGCCACAAATTCTCCCAAATCACTCGTACGCACAACTTAAGAACAAATCTGTGCGTACGAACGGTTCTTGCATGAGGCCCAATGATCATGTTACATTTCTGAATCACTTAGTTTCAAGGTTTGACCAAAATCGCATTAATTCTCAAAGAAAAAGAAAAGTGGTGGTTGATACACATTCATCCAAAGAATGCTTTGTTCTGAGCAGCTGCAGTACATTAGGATTAGTCATAAACGTAACAACAGCTACAACATCTTTTGGACTATAGTGACAAAGTTGTTTGGAGATTCATAATAAGATTTGTAATCCAGAACCAAACCACAGCTGCTGATTATCTCTCTCATCACTCTTGACTAGCTTAAAGTTGTTGCGCAGCGTTATTGGGCCTCTCTTACTGGCCCAGCAAAGCATTTAGAGCTGTGTCAGCAGCGCAGGCAGAAACAACTGTAACTGCTGTTGTGGTTTAAATTAAAATGTCATAAAATAGAAAGAGCGTCTCTGTATTTCTCACTGTTGGTTCTTGTTTCACACAGAGGCTGCTGCATTTAAAAACCAGGTCAAAGTCAGTCTGCAGCCTCTGGCTGCTCTGACATGCTGCTAAAACAGCTTGCAGTAGCTGTATGACGTGAATCCTACAATAACTTTAAATATATAAAAAATCATCTCTTTATTCAAACACGACTCAACATGTATGTATTTTAATTTGCACATGTTCATTAGCTTCATAATATGACTGATTTTGACGTAACTTGAAATAATGTCGATTATAGAGCTCTAAAAAAAAGAGACTCCTGAAATGTAAGGTTCTAGATTTCTGCTAAGCTGAGATTATCATTCGTGTTTTTGTGGAAGAGTACGTGTTTTAGTTTTATCAGTGCCTGATGATGCGTTTGTCGATCTACCTTGTTTACTTTGATGTCTGCGTAAACCCCCTCTTTTTCCCCCCTTCCCTCTTCTCGCCCTCCCCCCAGTCGCCCGAACACTTCCCTTGATCTGCAGAGTTTGAGAGCTCTCTTGTGTGGCTCACATTATCATTTTACACAAAGACAGCCACAGATAGCGATGGCGCAAAAAAAAAAAAAAAAAAGAAAGAAAGGGAGGACAGTCTAAATCTCCCCAATCATAACAAATCAGTGATTCAACCTCCGGCACCAGGCTAAGCAGATTACTGTCATTTTCCACCACTTGTCCCTTGTAGCTAACAACCTCCAATTAGTAAATCCCGCTGTGCATATCTGCGCCCTGACAGGGAGCCACCACGACAAGCAAAGAAATTAGAAGTCCTGCATGTTAATTTACCATGCTCTGACAATCTGTGTCTTCATCAAAACACTTTCAGATAAAATGCACGCTGAATGGACTCACAACAGCAGACAGACATGAGAAAAACAATAAAGTCTCAAAAACAAGCAAGGCGTTCATTATTCCTGTTTCAGACAACAGACTGGCTGCTGGGAGAAAACTGAGGAAACCAAGTGAGGACAAATGGAAAGATCCTGTTTCTCCAAAAACAATATTTTGATTTGTTGTTTCTTATATTAAACTTGTAAATGTGCCAGTTTCCAAAAAATGTCTTCATTCACAAGAAAACGCAGAAAGTTACTTCCCCAGCACGTTTTGTAATATTTTTACTTTTAATAATGAATTTCACCGGTATGCAACTCATAGTAGTTGTCTTATTGAGCCTCTTTTGTCTCGTACAACTCAAACACAGTTCAGTGTGTTCTACAGAGGGTCAAAGATATCGAACACATCTCACATCCCTCACAGAGGTTTCTAAAGAACCATTTAAAGAGAGTCAAATTAAGTTGTCTGAATTTCCATGAGTTTGTGTTTTAAATGTAATTTTAAGTGTTTTATATAAAGAAATGTACTTTTCCACTCAATAATACATAAATTATTTTAAACTGTTAAATATAATTGTTTCTATTGAGATTGCCACTTATTGAGTCCCTTGAGGGTTTTTCTGCAATTCTCTATCACATCTGTTTTTGCGAAACATTTTTTTTTGTGAAAGAAAACAAAAAAGGTGGGATGACAACATTGTGTTCAAAATGTTGCATTTTGGCCGTTTACACAAAAACGCATGAGTGGTGTTTCAATATTTTGTTATATCTATCTATCTATATCGATAGATCGATAGATCAATAGATCGATATCAGTGAGGCACTGTGAATTGTGGTTATTGTCATTAACTAACACTTAGATCATAAACTGCTTTAATTCTGATAATTATTACCACAACATATAATCATGTAATTATAAAGTAACTATACATTTAAAATTAAATTATTTTGCTACATTAAGGCCCGCATAGTGGCAGATCTAAAAGGTGTCACATTAAGTCAGGTGGTCTTATTAGTGTTGAAGGTATCACGACACGACATCTGGACAGAACTCTTACCTGTGGCTGAGACAGCTGGAAGGGAAGCCCCGCAGAAACAGACTTGGGTGGCAGACAAAGACCCCCTGATGTTGAGATCTGTTGGTTCTGGAAATGGAGAGCTGAATGGGTCTGGTTCTGGCCCGGTGACGGCGACTGTTGCCGCTCTGTCTTGGTCACTGAGCTCGCCATGATGGACATGGGCTGAGCGGCAGAATGGGGGGCATTAGGGCTGAAATGTAAAGTGGGCTTGGTGCCAATGCCTTTCAAGTCCATCTGATGGGAACCATTGTGGTCGGCTGCCTTAAAGAGGCAGTTGCTAATGCCTTTACTGTGAGAGCCAATCCGGTGCTGGGTAAGTGGGGGTGGACTGGAGATCTTGACTTTGGGGAAGGTGCTGGTTGCAGGAGGCCAACTGGTCATTCCCACATGTGGAGTTTGTTGGTGGTGATGGAGAAGAGAACTAGGCTGCTGCTGGTTTGCCGCCATCTGTTTCAGCTGCTGTGCGTGGGAGATTTCTGGCCAGCAGGGCATGGCTCTGCTCTGTCCTGCTTGGGTATTAGCTTTCTGCGACGTGTTGGTGGAGGAGGTGCTGGTCAGGGTGAAGGAGGGACCGGCTGAGGCTGGCCGAAGCTGCGACGAACCATCGTGAGCTTGCCCAAAATCCTGCGAGTGCTCCGTTTTTATCAGCTTCTCCAGAGGGGTGCACAGATTGGCAGCTGCTCCGGCAGAACTCGGTCGCCCCGGATCTAAAACAAAGGAGTCGTCCTGCTTCAGCATTTTCTCAAACTCCAGATCACTGAGCGGGGGCACGGTCTTTGTCAGTTCATCAAACAGATCCTGGAGCTCCGGATCGATCTGACCTCCATCTTCATTTTTGATGTCGAAAATCATCTCGGCGTTCGAATGGCCACACGACTGGATCTCTATCGGCTCCTTCTTCATTTCTTTCAGCGTCATGTTGAACATGTCCGACCCCGACACGTGAGGCATTGCGTAAGGCTTCCTCTGCATGCCAATATTTGAGGTCCCTTGCAGAGAATTGGTTAAAGTGTGGCTGTAATTAACGTGGTCCACTCCACTGGTGTTCACACAGACACGCTTGAAGTCTGAACCACAGGAGAGGCCGTTCTGCTTCTGGACGTGCCCTGGTGCATTTACTTCGAACTTCCTTCGCAGAGATCCTTGAAGCTGCAAAATAAGATAGAAAGGATTTAGAAATATGATCAATTATTAAGCATCTCTTCCATTTGAAAGAGTTCCTCTTAAGACACATGAACATTTTGTTAGTTCTGAAAAGTACCGTATCACACATGCATACAACTGGGTTGGATGGACGGCCTTGGACACTCGTAGACTCCGCCATTGGCATATTTTTATTTATAAAGCCATACTAGAACTTCTTCCATCATAATTGTTGGGCTAAATAAATAGAAAGTCCACTGGAGGATATTCTCTTCATTGTGAGAATTTATTTTTACTGTCGGTGCCTAAAGTCCAAACTGAACTTGGAAAGAAATCTTTTCAGTTTTCTGCTCCATCTTCTTGGAACCCCTTGCAGAGATACATGAACCTAAAGGTGCTGCTGTCGCTAAATGTTTTTAAGGCTGTTCTTATTGGTTTTGGTAAGGAATCATCTGACTGTAAATGTTTTAAATGAGGAATATTTTACTTTATCTATAGCTGTGTTTCCATTGCAAATGTGCGCAAAACTTTGTCGATATTCTGTTAATGTCGAAAAAACAGTTTCAAAATTGCGGTGTTTCCATTAAGTAAGAAATGCTATTCAAGTCACACGTGAATACATTTGTTCTAGTGATAAGTCATTACAAACATGGTGGCAATGGATGTAAACACATGTATAATTGCTACCATGGCACTAGTGCTCATCATCAGAGGAGATGTCAGCGTCTTATCGAGGCTTTCCAGCGACAAGCCCCTGATACTTGGGAGTGGCTACGTATGAGGCGTTTTTGGGAAAATGTAGTCGATGAGTTTAATACTTTCTTTTAAAACTTCTGTGATTTTACTACTACTTCTACTTCCTGTAGTCTTCTTTGTTGTCATCTTTTTTGTCAGTAGAAACAGCCGGTTGTTGATCACGTGACTCCTGTGATGTGAAAAAGGTGTTTCCATTGCAGTTTTGCGAAACACACTAATTTCGATATGGCCGAAAAACCACCTCATCCTAGCGCAAAAACATTTTGTTGAAAAAAAGGACGTTTTATTGAAATTGTCCTGTTTCCATTGAGTAAATTTATTTATGGAAACGCAGCTTATGACGGTGCAAACGTTTTCTGTTTTTGCCGTGAACATTCTGTTATCTCTGCCAGTCTTGGCTAAGAGTTCCTTGCAAGGGATTCTTAATCTCAATTGGATTTTCCTGGTGAAATGAAGGTTTAATAATAAAATAATACAAAGTACCTATGTGAATATAAATACTACTTTATAATTCAGTAAACCCATCATAGATAGTGGAAATGCGACCAGTTTGTGAAATTTGAACAGGCTTTAATTAACAGACAATGGTTTTATTAAAATCCTCTATTCAGGCGTGCTAAATGATTCCATTTGTATAAATTCAGATAGCACAAGCCAAACTTTACAGTTTTATTTAAACACTTGGTATTCAGTAATGAGGCCGTGGAAGTGTGTTTTGATAGAATGCAGTCTGAGCTCAGTGGATGGGATGAGAAGATAGTTAAGAATCTGATACAGTCGACGAACCACAGAGGGAAGAATAGGTTCGTTGTCTGTTTCCCTAATTTGCATACATTATGTGTTCCTCCATTGTGCTTCGTTAGATAGCCGAGTTCCTCCTTTGTGGCTGAGATTCTACTTAACATGCTGCTGGAGATATCTGATTTCCTTTTGTCCCGTGTTCATGTCTTCATTTAAGTATGAACATGGTTATGACTCACGACTCTTTCTGTGAGACTCCACAAAACTAGAAATTAATGAGTGTGTGCTTTTCCTCTTACAGAAACAATAACTTTTTTTTTGGAGCCTGGGAGTCATTAACAAGAACCCACTGAGAAACAAATAATTTATCAGGAGGCAATCTCACTGTTGTATACACACAAAAAAGGGCTTATCTTGACACATTTGAACGTGGCGCCTGTATGGAAACAAAATGGCTGTGACTGTAGAGCGGGCTGAATACAGGAGAGCAGGATCACAGTGTTGTCTGTTTCACTGTGGGAACAAATTTGAGTCATTTCCACCTGCTGGCAAATATCACATTAAGATGATTCATAGCTCGAGGATTGGAACGAAAACCTGCACTTCACTATATTCCCACTCACTTTAAGTCTGCATTACCTTTACTACCATTACCTGTGCTGTGGTTCAGAGGTAAATTAAATCATTTTAATAATGGTTCAAATCTCTCTGCAGCTCACTGAGCCCCTTTTATTAAAGCTAATTTCAGCCTGTGTTGCACTGTGCTGAACGGACGATAAAAACAATGCTAATGTTGATGTGCTGATTTACTTCTGAATGCTGTTTCTATACACCATTAGTGCATTTTCACATGAGTGATTACACAAGCAGAAATCCTGTTATTTTTGTTGCAGCAGGACAAAAAAAAGAGCTGCTTTGGCTCGGTTATATTGTTCACTCCTAGGATGGAGAGCCAGTTTAAAAACTGTTGTACGAACTAAACCGCCAATTGCAAACCTAATTGGGAAATGATATTCAGGTATAATCAAAGAGGGGCTGTGATAACTTGGTGGTCAATCCTGAGAATAGTGTGCATCAGGAAGTGAACTGACACAAAAATTTGGAAATATTTTTTCCAGCGATTGCCCTTTTAAACATATTTACAAATTTTTGTGTCAGTTCGCTTGATGTGGAGACCCCCAAAGAAAGAAGCAAGCTAAAATCTGGAAAATCACTGTTTTTTTGTGTTTAAAAAAGGATTGTTTTAATCAAAATTATGATGAGGTGAAATTATAGTAATGGTTTGTAGAGTTTTATATTTGGCGGTATGGCTTTTCTGGCCCCTCCCCTGCCCTCCTGTGTGCAAAGAGAAACGCCTGAGGCAGAACAGTGCAGCACCAACAACAAACATGACACTGATTAAACTGGAAACAGTTTGAAAACGAGGAGTGTGATTGAAAGTGGGCTGCGGAGCATCCTGAAGAGGAAGCAGCCAAGAGATCCAGGCCTGAATGTAAAAACAGCTGACTGATCACCTGATCTGACTGGATTTCACTTTGACCTTCCTAGCTCTATTTGTAGATGCCCTTGCTGAAGGTTTCTAAACTTTATACAACTATGAAATCACATCTGATTGATATGAATGTGTATTTGATGACGAGAATCATATGTATAAAACAATTTCAATCCCAAATGCACCATCAGTTTATCGACGGTGTTTTCACGGTCTTCATGAAAATCCAGCCTGTGCAGGGTTGCACAACAGGGTAATTTTGCCAAATGCAGACAGAAGCAGACTGTTCACTCACAATCTGAGGAAGACAGACAAGAGAGCCGCTCCTGGTTTAAGGCCAGGTCTGTGAACACACATCATGAATAATGGAAAGGACTGTGCATGTGTTGCAGGAACCACTGTGATCCAGGTTTGTTTCGCTCCTCTTTTAATGTCATTTTAAAAATGGAGTTTAATCAAATGTAGATTTCTAGACACGATAAAACACAAGGATAAACTGTATTTTGTCTAGCTTACATCGCTGTCGTTTGTTTAGTTAAATCCATCTGTAAAGAGCTGAAAAAAATTCGATGCATTTCAGAAGAAAAAAAAAGGACAGCCTTGTTCACACGACTCCCAGCTCTCAGAAGCAGTGGCCTCCTGCAGTAGCTGGCCTGAAATCCTCCCGACTGATCTCAAAGTGATCTGAAAATAGATTTTTTGATTAACATTTAATGAGCTCAGATGCTCTGAATCACTTTGAAAGTGACTCCTGCTCCACCAGAGGCATTAACGTATGCATTTCATCAGGATATGTTTCTGTTCTCTCTCAAATGTACCTGCTTTAACGAGAAGAAAATATATGTACCGTTGGTTTAAATATTTTAATTGTATTTTTGTTTGGCATTGATGGGGGAAGAAGAAAGATTTCAGTTTTGGACCTTTCTATTGTTGCAGTTGGACTACGTTGGTAAAGAACACAACCTTGATCTATTCGTAGGAGCTGGAAGTCTGGGTGCTATAATGTGTCAGTGATGCTGAGCGCTGTGGATGGGGCTCCGGGTAAGACTTCGCAGGGACCTAAGACCAGACCTCTTGGTACCATCTGTCAGTCCAGTGGCGCAGCCTTCAGAGACAAACACGCTCAAAGGGTAGAGGTTTAAGAGCGTTTGCAGGTTTTAAATCCTTGTTTGTTGCGCTTGAGCGTAGCTCAGCAAAAGACTGAGCTCTCCAGCCTTTAATCTTTTCACCAGAACCCTGATACATGTTGCAATAGTCCCCCGAGACAGCGAGAGACATCCCTCTCAGCATTCTCTGCATGGAAAAAACATCTTTTTAAAAAAAGAACAAATACAACTATTGTGTTCCTAGGGAGACATAATATTTATGCGTGTCTGCAGGTTGCATATTGTTGCAAGAGGAAATTTTTGGGCTCATTTTATTGCCAGAAAAGAAACTACAGCCTTACAGACCAGTGCCAGTGATTGGCTATCATACAAAATTCATCTGCTTGGAGAAACGTGCAGCGCTTGGTTAAATTATGAAATTTGTATTAGCTGTCTCAAGTTGGAAATCGTGATACTGAATACACCCCCCCAAAAAAATAAAAATAAAAATAAAAACATCTCAGAGAAGATGTTCTGATTTTTAAGAAAAGGTGTGGCTAAGATAAAGGGATGCACATTTGCATATAAGTATAGAGCCTAATAGGGTCAGGGTGTTAAATTGTCTGCAGTCAAGAGTGGTTTTTTTAGAACATATTGGAAAAATAGAAATGCAGAGCTCACAAAGATGCAAGACGTCATGTACATCAGGGGTGTGGTAAAGAGGTGAAAACGAGAGTCCAGGTAGGATGGAGAAAAATTTCAGGAGTGATTTGTGACAAAAGTGTGGCAGCTAGGCTTGGGAGGTATGATGGTGTTTTGGTGTACCGCAGTATGAAAATATGGTGACGGTATGTAAAATTATTTTGATATTAGTCATGTGAGCTGATGTGCCAAATTTCCCAGCAATTCTCACTAGGCTGCTAAGAAGGGAA